TTAAAATAACGGAGATAAACGTGATCTGCTGAGCGTAAAATTTGBYATGCTACGCACTTGTACGACGGAGACAACACATGCTGGTTTGGCGTCCTCTTAACTACCTACCCAACAACGTTTACGCTTAACCGAATACATAAGCAACTCTTTCGAAAAACACTGCCATACATGTGCCGTTTTTATCGACAAATCTAAAGCTTTTGATAAGGTTTGACATCAAGGATTGTTATACAAACTCAAAACTATCAATACACCAAATTACATAATATTTAATATAATCAGCGAGTTTCTTTCTAACAGACAGTTCTCTGTAAAAATAAACGATAACTTTTCTGATTATGAACCCATAACAGCCGGCGTGCCTCAAGGATCAATACTTGGCCCTACATTATACCGCGCCCTTTGCTTGCTTATGCTTACTCTGTCTGGGGAAAATGCGCTCTTACCCACTTAAAAAAACTCTAAATATTTCAAAACAAAACCTTAAGAATAATAACAAATGCTACATGGTTTGTAAGAAACCAAAGTATTCACAAAGACCTCAAGATACCAGAACTTCAAGACCACATTAAAAATCTGGCTGATAGTTTCTTCAAGACTATTAAAAAGTCAACGGGATCAATGCACTACCAACTCAACATAGGACCACCGATCCAACGCCGCCTTCGACGTGGACGACCGCACGACCTACTTGCATAAACAAACATTCAAGCTAAGCCATCCAAACTTGTCACTACTCCATTCTTCTTCTTTATTATGTACAACATAATAATAATTATAATTCTTAATAATTCAACATAATAATAATTCTTCTTTCTTATTATGTACAACATTAATTGTTAATTAATCTTATTATGTTTTTATTTAATTTTTTTTTCTAATCGTTTTCTTGTTATAAAAGTCAAAAATAAAAATTGTAAATACTATCTCTAGATATAGATAGTCTACTGTTGGCTAGGGATGTGTTATAAAAAAACTCATGACTAGTAACTCATGATTTACGCAATCAAAGCCTTTTTGCACGTCTAGAAAAATAACCATTACTTTGTAATTAATATCAATATATCTACGAACAAAGTTATCAAGTTTAAAAAGAGCATCAGTTGTTGAAAAACCAGTCAAAAAACCAAACTGTAAATTAGAGATATATTTTTAAAAAAATCGCGAAAATCGGCCCGGTAGAACTTCAGATATTATAACTGTTACAAGAGTTCGCCTTACTTTTTAATAATACGAGTATATAAAGATATCTCCACAAATAATGTTATGTACATTTTTTTTATACAAACTAGATAAGAATAATTCTAAATTATTGATGAAGTTATTTAGTTATCTATATTATCAATAGGAGATCTATAAATACAAAATAAATGGAATAAATCATTATTTATGTAAGATTAATGTATAACAAATTGCAATTTTTTAGTACTTGTGTATTAACTGTTATTATGTTTACAGATTATCTTACTAATTCAGTTACGCCATCACATTTATTTAATGTTCCTTGCGAGTTTATAGTTTTATAGCCATTTAATTTAAATTCAAAATCATTCAGAAGCCAGGTTTCACATAATACAATAAMACTAAAAAGATTATTTACTGAGCCTAATGACCAGGGCTAGAATTTGTATGCAATAAAAAATTGTAAAATGCATTTTATTTTCTATCTTAGATTTTATATTGACCGACATACTTTTATTAATTGTGTTTATCTTTCTCCGTCAAACTATTCAATCTTTAATCGCATACCTATTGTACCATAGGATTGTATTTATAAAAATAAAATTTGTGTTTGACAAAAAAGCAAGTTTAATACTTTAATCAGCTGAGCTATAATTAATATTAAATTATAAATATTAATTACGAAATATACTATAAAACATATTCATTTTTCGCATTCTTTTAATGGAAATATGCAATAATATTAATTTTATTCAATATATGCATTAATATGCATTTTATCCAAAATATGCAAAAACATGCAAAATAAAAACACCACCATTTATCTCATCATGAGGTGATTCGTGGACATTAGTACATTACTGACAAAATCACAAAATCAACAATCAGAAGTCGCAAAAAAAACATGCTGTTGCATACAAATCCTAGCCCTGCTAATGACTTTTATGACTCACGCGTAAGTATTCTCATTGCAGTAAACCGGTAAATTAATGTGTGTACGACTAACGAGTCGTGAGTGATTATGACGTATAAATAATTTATCTTAATCAGGCTTGTAGCCAGATGAAATGTTCAGATGGGCAAACCAAATTTTAAAGGGGCGTTATATTATATAAAAATAATATAAATTTATAATATTTTTAGGGGGAAACGATTAGGTTTAGAGATAGAAACGCCTCCTCTTCCCCCCTCTTTAGCTACAAGTCTGATCTTACTTTACGTCTTTACAAGATACAATAGACCAAAAATTTGACAGTTTTGTAGTTAATTTGCTTATTCTATCCGCCGTGTTATCATAATTATATTTTTTGTTGTGCTTGATCACCCTACATCGGTCACCTGAATTCTTATTTGACCCATATTATTTAGTAAGTTATTTGTAATTATTTTAAACAAACTCATCAATATAACAATTCGTAAGTACAGCCAACTCTGATTATCCACAGAATATTTACCCACGAATAACTTCACAGTTGTCAGACTTTCTCGTTATTTTATACGGAGATTAAAATTAGAAACTAAATATTTAGGAGCACAAAATCATAATTTACAAACGAACGTATACACTTTTTAAAATTTTTGTCAAACCCGTATTTTTAGGTCCCTTACATTAGCACCAAAAAAAATCCAAAAAAAAAATGTATACCAACGATTGTTATTTCATTTGTACACATTTGTAATCCTAATATAAACGTTTGTACAGTCCTCAAAATCACCGAAAACTCGTGGTGGTGCTTATTTAACGGGGTTTTGGGTGATTTTGGGGGAGTGTACAAATGTTTATATTAGGTTTATAAAATGTGTACAAATGAAATAACAATCGTAGGTATACATTTTTTTTGGATTTTCAGAGATGGTGGTCCTAATGTAACGGACCTAGTATTTTTGTATTAAGGATTCTAATTTTTTTTTGTTCAGTTACATTTAAAATTTGAAAATTAGCTTAAGCACATATCATATTAATATATTTTTTATGTTCAACCATATAATATTTTTAGTAGCAATATAAATAACAAGTTAAATATAAATATAAATATATATATATATATATATATATATGAGTATAAGGTACTTATTTTTTATAAATATATTAAGTATCTACTAATACAATATTCATATTAGAGTTAAATTTTAAAATTTATTATTAAATTATTGATAAATTCGGTAATTATAATTGTCAAGTTTTGGAGATTCAAATGGAAAGATTAAAAATTGCACATCTTGAAATATAAATTGTTATAGTATTTTGTTACTCTAGTATGATATTTTTTTTTTCAATTAGTTATTGCTTTAAACATAATTTTGTTTACAATGTTTACATAGCTCTGTCTGATTAACAAATGATAATAATGTAAATATCACAATGATTCTGATTATTATAAGTATTCACAGGCCTCTAGACTATATTCAAAATCCAAATCAATTTAATCACTCAACATTGAGTAGTCAACTGTGATCATTTGAATTCAGGAGACTCATATAATACAATTTATTTAGGCCTTTTGAATTAATTTTTTTTAATATACTGCTTTTTTTTCTTCTACTAACTTGATAGTATACATGTATTAACTTATTGCTTATTATAGTGTTTGATCACATATATTTGGTTTTTGTGTAAACCCTGTTCAGGCTGTTCAATAAACATTCAAAATTATTAAAAATATATTTTGTTTAGGATTACATCTTAAGTTTGAATTTTGACAAAATTCACCAAAATTTAGAATATTTTTCAATTATTTTATAGTTAAAAATATGAAAAGTTTATAGCTTGGAATTAAAAAAAAAAATTTCATACATAGAATCACTGTAACCAACATATCTAAAAATAGGTTATACCTTTTATATTATAGATTTTTTATAAATATTATAAGTTAAAATTCGAAAAAAATGATATATTTCAACAAGGAATAATAATTTTCAGTTATTTTGTTCTAATTTAAGTATTCTTAAATCAGAACATTCTTATTTTTGGGTTGTTGAACCAATCTTGATGATACTTATGAAAATCATAAGGCAACAAAATTTGACCAATGTCATTGATGTATATTAAAATTTAAATACCATTATAATGATTGTGACTAATGACATGTATAGCATAATAAATTATTAATATTTAATGTCTATACAAAAATATAATTTATATAATATAAATATATACATTATAAATCTATTTTTATTAGTAATACTCAACATTTCTTTTAAATAAACTAAACAAATTAATATTTTTGTGATACACATCCAAATAAAACTATATCTTAATAACTTATAAACAAAAAAATAATAGTAATACATTAATATATGACTAGAAATAATTATAATACTAACATAATATTATGTGTATGAAATATAACAATGTAGGTGACTCCATTAAGTTATAATTACCTAGTGATTTATTGCTGTAACTACAACACTAATACAGTAAATAATTATGCTCTGATAATATATTTTACAGTTTAATATTGTTTCAAATAGATTCTACCTATTACCTATGTAAAAGCAAATGTAATGAAATTATTCAATATAATATTATAGTGGTAGGTTTAACAGAAAATAATACAAGTAATATTTATCCTTTTATATTAAGAAGAGAAAATCAATTTTGTAACACAACAATTATTATGTAAATTCAGTTAAGTGACTGCATAGGCGCCCGCAGGGGGGTGCAAGTTGGGGCATTTGCCCTCCTGGCTTTTTCAAAATATTTTTTTTAATTGAATGTATTTAAGATAAATTACTATATACCATACAACAAATTTAAAGTATAAAATAAGTTGTAATATTATAAAATATAATATATTGTATAGGAGTATAATAAAAAAGGTTATTATTTTAAAACACCTGGTAAAATTATAATATTTATCCTAAAATCCTAACATTGCCCCCCCCCCCTAGAACAATTTTTGCGGGCGCCTATGAGTGACTATCTATAAAAAATTAAAAAGTACATAATATAATGTGGTTTACAATTCAAGAACGAATGCCACATGCTTCCTTATAGTTGGAAGCATTAAAAGTGATAAAATAATCATCATGTATGAATCTAATAGCGGACTCAATTGGGCACAGATAAATTGAAGAGTCTGTCCAGTTTTTAGAACGAGTTCTACAAAAAGCCACTGATCGGGTCACATCTTTGCCATTAAAAATTACTCTAAAGTAGAAGTCCCTACTGGGGTAAGTGGTGTCAACAGTGTTGTTTCGATATACCTCAAACACTAGGCGAGAAGCATAGTGTGGTGACATGGTTTGTGCATTAAGAACTCCAAATGCCGCTAAAAGGTATTGAGCTGTCAAGTCGTGACCAGAGTATAGGACCAAACGAGGCTTACTCTCAGATACCATTTTCAACAAATTCATGGCAATATTCAGCGCAAAGCCATATGACTTGAGTAGTCCATATTTCCGTAATAGCCCATGTTTAGCATAACGTTCCAAGTCCCAGTCAATGTAGTTAAAAAGCTGCTCTACATTGTCATATGTTACACAATCATTCTGATAGCAAGGCAGTGATGCTCCATGGCATACATATGTCATAATAGAATCCCTTATTAAGTAAGGGTCTACTCGTACAGTACTGGACATCAGATGCACTATATTATGTATGCGTTTGAGCATTTTTTCTACTACTCTACGGCCCTTTAACCGTTTTGCTGATGATTGTTTCATTTTCATTTGTAAGCTATTAACATTAAAACACGCACAATGATCAAAACAGTAACTGTAGCTATCACTCTCCTTGAACGTGACTTTGGACAATACATCTGGTGACAGAACAGAATACATGAATGCCAATGCACTTTGGAATGTGCGTCTGTACTTAGTGCTGTATATTATTATATCATCAGAATTAGAAACACTAAGCAAAGGGTGGTACACAGAACGCAAAGTTCGCCCAAGCTTCAGCATTTGTGATACACCAATAGGGGTGAGTTGACTTATGGAACAATTGTTTTGTGGTGGATACAATGGGTACCCATGAAAAGGACCTAAAAACTGTAATGACATATTGAAAAATATGTTTTGCAAGAATTTTGTATAACCATTATACTCTTGATCTTGATCAGGTTCCATGCTGCAGTCTATATCAGCTATGTTTCGAACATGATTCATCGGCCCACGATCTCCATGTCTAGTCAGTATTATTACTCCTTGGATTGTAAGACTGTTGTTTAGCAAGCCTTTAAAATAGATTATACAATAGTAAATGAGGTACTGTATAATAAACATTGTTTGGTTATATATTAATACCAATATTTCCTTCATCACCACGTTCAATCATGTGCGGAGGATTGCACACTTTAGTAAGATCATTGTAATTGACTCTGGAAACTGTTCTTTTATACTTGTGGACAGAGTTTACGGATGTGTTTACAGTCTTATTATCAGGTACAGGGCGATCAGAAATTTTGAAATATAACACTGAAACACAGTTAAAAGTTTTAAGATTAATTAATGCAAAATTATCTAAATATAGATTAATAAAATGTCACCTGGAAAAAGAATGCACAGCCATATGATTAAGTAGACTAAATATCTGTGGCGGGTCACATTTCTGACAGTCACAACTTGTACGTTTGCCATGACAGTTTATTCAAGTGAGCAGTTGTTTCCAGCAACAGCCTTTGAATATAAACTTACCACTAACGCTTGCATTTTCATTGTTTCTTTTATCGTCTCACATTTGATGATGGTAATAATATCACCAGTTTCCAATCATTCGCATTACCTTGTTGGCTTACAGGAATGTCTGTCGCCGGCTTTCCATGCCAGAGGATCATATTCGGTATACTTATATTGTCAACGGCTTCATGGCATACCGTGTGATCACCATTCGGAGATCTTTGGTAAAAATAGATAGTTAAAATTAAGTTTACATTTTTTAATTTTTACTAAAAAAGGTGCCTCTTAAGCTTAGAGACCCAATATTGTATTAATTCAGACTTGATCATCATTCTTCAGTCATCACAGTTTTATTGATACGCAGCTTTCGCTCAAACGACAGTGTTCTTCACTTCACACTTCACCTATATCGCCTATATCGCCTATATCTATGCCTGAATGGCTTAGCTGCAGCAGCTGCTGTATCGTAGACCGTATTCACCTCGACTAAAGATAGCGCCTCTTATCAGTACCACACTATCACAGCAATTCGCTAATCACAAACCCATAATAACTGTTATTTGAATAATTATTTTTTATTTTTTCCAGAAACAATTATAAAAGCCTTCCAAAGTATGCGATTTTACGTTCATAGTGTTCATACGTTTGCGCGGAATACTATTTTCATGTTGCGCGGAGCATAGTATAAGGAACAATATAAAAAAAGCCCCTGAAGCTTTGAGCCACTATAATTGTATTCCTTAAGAAACAACGTTAAGTTTACGTGTTAGGTTTGAAACAAAAGAAAAAATTAATAAGAATTATACGGTAGTAATACACACTGAACACTGCAGTATGTCAGTTGGTAACGATGTATGGTGGGGGTGGCGAACGCCGGGTCGCCGGACATATTATCTGTGGTGCGCTGGTGCTATACATAATGTATTATTATTATTTATTATTTTCTCATCGAACTCGATTTATACCCTGCACCCCCTGTGGACACGCCTATGATTTATTACAATCATTGAGTTTATAATTATTAATTATGTTCATAAAATATAACATTGTTAATGTAGTTATTAATTAAATTATTGTGATTTTATTTAATATTGTGATGTATTCATGGAGGTATTATTATATTATGTATACTATCAGATAAACTATAACCAGGGCCTGCTAGAGAATGGGGCGGGGGCCTGTGCGGCTGTGCCCCTGGGCCCGGACCTTCGGAGGGGCTCGTTGTCAGAGCCGTATTTAGGCACAGGCCCTATAGGCCCGGGCTTAGAGCCGCGACATTTGGAGGACGAATTGGACGACAAATTTTACTAATTTTTGAGTAGAAAAATTGCTTTTATACAAATTATATTATGTTATRTAATTTAGAATTACAAGTTAAAGCGTAAACATTCACGTCCGTCCGCTCAAAATTAAACAGCTACCTACTATAATTACCTAACATTATACTACTATATTGCACACATACGCAACACAGTACGAACCAGTACGCACATAGACAATGGCGTACTTTGGGTGATTTCTCGAGGGGTGTCTAACGATTAATACACACAATACACATGCTAAAATTAAAATAGTAAATCATAAAATAAAATATGATATTACCAATATTAAGGCCTTTTAAAGTCGGGGGGTGTCCATATATGGAATACACTATACACCCCCCTCCCAACAAAAATACGTCATTGTACAATGTACATGGATCACAAAACAAACGCGCATTCAATGCGGGTTCGATCGGTATAATCGGTTAATTAGTTTTTATATAATGTGTGCTATTAATATGGTTAAGAGCGTTATTATATTTTTCAATGGTAATTTATGTATAACTACTGACTGCTTGTTTAATTATATAAAATACAATGTATCAGATAATAATATGTATTATTATCCACCCAATAAAAATATGTGACCGCTGTCACACATTTATACCGTGTTAGGCGCCACTGCCACTGCAGTATATAAGTGAAAGGGCCCGTAATTGATTAGCCCCAGGGCGCACCAAAATACTCGCTGGTCCTGGCAATAGCCAAAATAATATCTATAATATAGAATTAGTGCATATTTCACTGTATATTTTGATATTACTTATTTATTTTATTTATGTAATACATATCACAATTGTTTTTTTTATATACAATACCTATATAGATTAACTTAATTTATAATTCTCTTCTCACATTTAAGTTTGCTTTTTGAGACAAATTATATTTTTAGTAGCGTGTATTTTTGTGATATTAAATATTTAATAAATAGTAATAATATTATACGATAAAAGTTTAAATTAATAACTTTGGCGCCAATATGTGTGTAGCCAGCGTATAATGACATAAAATTAATACAATAATAATCTAATATTATCATAGCATTATTACGTGTTACGTGTATAATAGATTCTAGTGGATAATTTCATTGATTCTATGGTAACTAATTCTCATTGTATTTATTCATAAATTGTTATTGTAAAAATTAAAAATTGTATAAATCGATTCAATTTAATATGCGGTACCTATGCCACTATGTCAGTACCTATATTATGACGTATCACCGTTTGAATTAAATATAAACTGAAGAACCGATTGACTTACATAAAAACCAGGTAAAAATTGAAACATGTATCAAAACCTATAAAATTATCAAATTTTGATAAATATTAAGTAGACTAAATACGATATAAAAACGATGAAATGCTTAAAGCTTAATACCGACATATAACATATTATATGAATTATATGGACATATGCATGGTTATATTGTTAATTTTATTATATGGTACGCTGAGAGATTTTTCCAGTATCAATTATGATTATGTTTTTTATATTGTTATACTTCTTTTATTTTGTATTATTCCTTTATAGCCTAATTTACTGGATGACAAATTAATAATGATAGGTATAGGTAATCTTACTAGGGTGTTTTTTATTTTAACGGAAAATAAAAATAAAAGCAAGAATTTAATTTATTATGACAAACATTTTTTGTATTCCCATTTTACATAATAATAGGAAACCCACATATTTTTAATTATTATTGTATTATATTTTTTAACAAAATAATGGGCTTCGCTTAGCATAATATGTCGAGTTAGGTTCATGAAGACTTAATAGTAGTTAATGTTTATCTTAATATGACTTTAATTTTTAATATTTACATTGAACAAGGTATAATAACAATTATAAAACATGATGGATTATAAACTTTCGTTTCAACAATATAATTTTAATTGTGATAAGCTAATGAGTGATGACTGACGAGTGATGATATATGCTGGTTTAAATAAAATTGTATACACTCAATTCAATAAATAACTAACCATAGCAAAGTAGACATGAACGAAAAACATCCTGTTTTCCGTTTAATCTTTTTTTTCATAAATCACATTATTTTTAGACTTCAATTCAGCAGTAAAAATATACATGTGCTTCTAATATTTAAACACCATCTTAAATATTCTTAATCGATAATCAAATAAATAAATTTAAAAAAAATAATTAAAATAATACCAAGGTACTTTATTTTGTTATACATAATTTTAATTTAAAGTTATGCATTATTTCGGTATAGTTATCTCATTTCATTATTGCCCGATGTCCTGCAATGAACAGATTGTATACAAGGGCATCGTTGATACAAAAGTAGTATTATAATATATACCTAGGTATCTATGGATTTATCTTCTTGAAGTAGTACAATATAATCCATGGCGATTGTCAAAGTCGTTGCGGAGGACGCAGTCTATTAAAGATTCTAACATTTCAATTAGATAGCTAAGTAGACATGAACGAAAAACATCCTGTTTTCCGTTTAATCTTTTTTTTCATAAATCACATTATTTTTAGACTTCAATTCAGCAAGCAGACCTATCTGATCCATTGTCAGCGTCGGAGTGCATACACGTCGCGGACTCTAACAAAGCCCAAAATAATTGATATTTAAGGTAAGTTTGTTTTAATACCAATTCTTTTGCGGCTTAATATTATAAAAGAATTGAGGTACACGTTCGTACACTTTTACAATGGTAATGTCTGCAAAGAGTTCTTCACCTATGCATTTGAAACTAAAAACTACAATAGGCACATTAAACATACCACTTTATATTGTGACTTTTTCAAATATAATAAAATATTCCCTTGAACCCAAAAAGTCAGACTTATTACGGCCTTTTACAATTTTTTAAGCAAATGCAAGACTGTCATATTTTGATATGTGGCTGTATTGCATACAGAAATTGATTTTCAGACATACCAAAATATGGCAGTATTGAATTTAAGCTATGTTTATTTTTGTGTCATATATCCAATTATGGCAGTATTGAACTTTAAATTATTAATGAATAATAAAATATTATTAGCTGTTAGTTTTTTTGACATTTGATTAAAATTATTGTTGTGTTATAATTTATAATTGTACAGGTAATATAATATATGTGGATGAAAATTAATCATTTAGTAGTTGTAGGTATGTAAAATCAATATCTTTAAAAATAATTTACTAAAAAACACTAAATAAAAAATAAAATACTATTTGTCTTTAAGTCAATGAGCTTATTTTTATGTATCAAAATAACAAATAATATGACAAATTAAAAAAAAATATATTCTAAACTGATAATGGCTATAAAATTATCAAATGCTTTTGAACAARAGTACAAGWCTATAACATTATTTACGAATTTGAATAATTTATTATTATTTTAATAATATAGGTACCTAATACTTGTTTGAAATACAATGTAAAAAGAAAGTTACTCATTATAATTATCATGGCCTTATGTTTAATAATATTAAGCTACCTATGGCTTTGAAAATAAATAAATAATAAGTCTAATTTTATTATATAAATTAATCACCATCTTCATAGTTTTTTATTATTATTATTATTTTATTAGTATTTGTTATAAGTATTATCAATTTCAGATATTTTTAAGTTTTTATAAAAATGATAATAAATATCTGGAACAAGTTTTGCTTTGCGCGATAAAAATAAATCTTTTTTATTGTAAGATTCCAGGCTTTTCAATAAATGCAAATTTCATATGTAATGTATGTTYGATAATTTTATTTTTGAATTTCTATTTTTCTTTATAACTTATAATTTCTTAATAATTTGCTTGCCCATAAGTTGTATAAATTGTTGTAAAAACAATTTATCAGGGAATTATTTTTTAACTTTAATTAATTTTTAATATCTCTCTATAAAACCATTTGACCGATATTATTTTTATTAAAGTTGTTACAAATATCTTTACTATGACACCTTGTTCTAGTTAAAATGTCATCAAATTCTGATTTTAGACCTTTCTTATGATGTTCCTGAGCTTTTATTTT